CCTATAAAGGGATAATGATACATTCAAAATTATACTTTTGAATGTACCTTTAATGTTAAGAAATCAGTGTAGTCTTTTATGATTGATCAGATATATCTTCTATCTTATCCAAACCTCAGAGCCAAGATGCGATTCCCCCTGCTGGTGTGACGGATGGGGAAGAAGCGGATGCCGAGGATTCGGACAACAGCAAACGTCAGAGCGACACCAGCGCTGAAGAATCTGCACCGGAGGAAACTGGTGGCACTGGTGAAGAAGAGACGAAAGACAGCGATGGAGAAGACAGTGAGGAAGATGCTGTGGAGGAGTTTAGGCCTGAGCAGGAGGGTAGAGAGGAGAAGGAGGCTACTAAGAGCAAAAAAGAAGACGGGGCTCTTCTCCACCAGTTCACCAGGACCTCGGTGGAGTCCCAGTCAGGCTCGATGGAGGAAGTGGGCATGGATTTACCTTCAAACTCTGCTGTCAAACGACCAAAATGATTATAAACTGGACGAAGAACCACAGAGCAGAACGACCGCTCAAACGTTTGGTTTTAAAATCTCTCTTGAACACTTGAAGCACTTTACTTCACTGGATTTTGCATAGAAGTCATCATGTTGACTTGCTGAAGTACTCATACCCCTCAATGTTTTCAACATGCTGTCATGTTCCAACCTCAAATTTTCCTGTAGTTGATTGTGGTTTGATGTAATAGATGAATACAAAGCACCATACTTATGTAATAATAGCAAATGGTAATATTATGAAGAATGTCATTTTTCATGTCAATTAAAACCCCTAATGCTTAGACTAGATCCCCATGAATTAATTTATCTAAACACCCCATAAGAAAAGAGTTTTCAGGGTTTATTTGTCATTTAAACCAAAGCATCGAAGAATCATGAGTCCACTTTTAGCCCCCGGAGTAAATCTGAATCTTTTCACTTAAAGGTATAGTGGGGAGTCTGACATAGTGGAAAAATTGCAAATCTTCTTTTGGAAAACAAGCTTGTATGAGCGATGCAAACAGCAACTTTTAAACAGAGGACGCATATAATAGGCATTCCCTCTCGGGAGCGGGTACAGGGTTGTGCATGTGCTTTTTTTTTGTTTTCCAAAACTTATTGATGCTTATGAGTTCCAAAGTAAAGGCTTTGCAATAGTTATATAGTTAACATTGTACCTTTAACATACAAACATAATTGGGCTTGAACAAACCCAATTATATCCACATATAATACACCTACACAGAGTAAATAAAATAGATCAAGTCGGAGTGAACACACTGTGTAATCAGACAGAAACAGATACAACATTTTGTTTTTTGTTTTTTTTAAAGGGGAGAGGGCAGGTCTTTTCTAAAATTTGACCAAAAAAATCCTCCACTATACCTTTAAAACAAGGCAATTTGATTAATCCTTTTTATTTTCTAGATTTTTTTAGATAATTGAATCTGGTCAAACTTATGGAAATCAAACGTATTTCCACAACTGTTTTAGCTTTTTTTTTTTTTTTAAGTTCCATCCATTTTCAGACATACAGTAAGAAGGCCTGTAAGGTGGTCAGAGCTAAAAGAAAAAATGGCTGGTGCTAAATACACAGCACTACTAGAAGGAACATGTTAGCCTTGAACGATACAACCAGAGCTAAAACCAAAGCATATCACTGTGTTAAAATGGCCTAGTTAAAGTTTAAACCTAAATCCAATAAAATATTTGGGGATAAGGCCGGAAACTTTATGTTCATAGACACTTTCCATCCATTTTCACTGAGTTCTCCCCATACAGACTTGTATCTGGTGCTCATTCTTATAAAACCCCAATAAAGTACATTGAGATTTGTGGCTGCAACATGACAAAATGTGAAACGGTTTAAGAGGTATTAAGATCTGTGTTGCACACTATAAGCAACATGATTGTACAAACCTGAAACTTGAACTCGAAGGAGGTGTCTGTCTGGAACCACATAGCTTATAATTGTATTAAGACTCATGTTGGAAATATTGATATTTGACTTGGATTCTGTGTTCAAGATTTATCAAAACATAGCCAATCATAATCTAAGTACCTCAGATATGTTTTGTCATTACTTCTTATAGTGGAGTTTGACAGAACCGTTTTTTTTTTTTTCAGTTTTTTATTTGTTCGTTTTGTGTTTGTCTCATGAAGTATATGACGCATTTTCAGTGGTTCGGACAGCCCAACGCATTAGATAGATCAGCTCAAAGCTATTACTTAACTACCTAAATCTGTACCCCGCGGGGAAGTTTAAATCTACAAAAACTCTGCGGTGTAAGTAGATTACCTAAAAGAAATTGATATTTTTGGAATGTTGTACTCTACTTTCTGGCATAACATAGACATGATATCAGTATAAAGATGTTAATATGGATTTAATGTCACAGAAACCTCAGAGGCTGGACCTGATCAAAGTTGTTCTAGAAAATATTAAATTATACATTTTATTCCCTTGTTAGAGTATTTATTTTTAATGATCTTATCCCAGGCTCAGCTTCAGGCTTACTTTTTAAGATTTAAAGCAGAAGTACTGAATGTTTTCTGGACAGTGAGAATGTCTTGCTTTGTTTGACAAAAGCCTCTTATTTCTGGTATTAAGGGGGAGGGGGGAGTGTGCCTATGCTGCTATTGGTTTTAATGGCTGTCTGTTAATCTGAGTCATAACTATTTAGAGTACACTGATAAACAAAATGATTGTAACGATAACGACCTTGATGAAAATAAACAAATGATGATCTCCACATATTGTCATATATTGTTGCTTTTTTCAAACCCATTCAGCTCTGCATCAATCTACCATAATATCCAATTTTTTCACATGTATATTAAAATCAAAATGTTGAACTAGAATATTTACAGTTAGTATTGACCCCTGTTTAAATGACTATATATTTAACTTTCTAAAATATTTGCTTTATCCGATTTTAAACCCCAGTCAGCCTCAGCAGATGGCCGCTCACACTGAGCCACTAAGCCTGGTTCTGCTGCAGGTTTCTTCCTGTTAAAAGGGAGTTTTTCCTCTCCACTGTCGCTACAAGCATGCTTAGTGTGAGGGATTGCTTCCGAGTCAGTCGGATGCAATCAACTGTTTTTTTTCTTAGATAGAAAACCTTGAATCTATTTGACTGAATGATCTGGTGAACTTTGAAGTGCCTTAAGATGACATGTGTTGGAAATTGGCATATATATAAATAAACTGAATTGAATAGGTAAATAGATATACTTGGTGCGCTGCAATGTTTCTGTAGCCTGGGTGTAAGGAGCTATTTTCGCCACAAAATTTGTTCAAAATAATGACTTTTATGTGTTCAATAGGAAACTATCTTTTGAACTTGAAGATTTTTTTTTTCCTGAATTTTTTATTTTATTTAAGGAGTTTAGAATTAGAGGATAGTATATTTTGAGGTCAGTAAGTGTATTTTGAAACTCCATATCAATGCCAAAACAGGGCCATACATTTTAAGCTAAAAAAAAAAAACTTCAAATCTGAAAGCTTGTTTATTTACTTTTGAACAAAATATTACTGGTTTAAATGTATTTCTTTTAAACAAACCATTATTTTTCTGGTATACATTTTCAGGTTTTACATTTTTTTAACAAGTTTTTTTTTTTATTTGACAAACCTTTTGTCCCTAACTTAGCTCCATACTTTGCTTTAGCATGACGGTAGAATCGCTCTAGAGAGAATGTTGTTTTGTTAGCACTCTACACAACCCTGCAGCATCCTAACGCCTATGTCATGCTTTATGTGGACTTCTATTCTGCCTTCTCTTTGGAGCTTCCATTAGTCTCCACATAGAAGAGTTCCACTTTCTGAAACTGTAGTGCTGAAGGGAAAACCTCAGAAAAAACACCAGTAAGACCAAGGAGGCCATATTGGACTACAGGAGATACAGGTGTACTGAACACTCTCCTCTCTGCATGCATGGGTAATTGATGGAGCATGTGGATGGCATACATTTCCTGTACATCTAAATTTTCATCCACGGCTCCTCTTGTTGGGTTCCTCCGCCGACTGGACAAGAATGGGCTGCACAGGACAAATGTTTCTGCTTAAACAAATTGAACTAAAATTCTTCTCCCAGTGCTTTCTGATAAAGACGCTTGTTGCCCTTGACCTTTTTAAGGTTTTTACTTAGTTTCTTCCTACAGCATTTGGCTCTGCGCTCTGGGTTCTTCCAAAGCTGCTAAACTGTTTTCAAGACGCAAACACACACTAATCCGGTACCTGTGACTGTGTGTTACATCATGCAATATAGCCTACATGGACAGCCACAACCCACAAGCTGAAGATCATCTGTGAAACATTAACTGGCTTAGAGATTTCAGTTATTCCGAATAAAATCACAGCGTGGTTTGTTAAAAACATGTTTACAAGATGTGGAAAAAATGAAATTATTTTCGAGAAAAAGTGGTACTTGGATATGTTAATTTCTTCTTTCACTTCAGATTAGAGCGACAGTGAAGTCAGGCCCTGAAATCGAAAGGTTGACGGTTCAAGCCCCACCTCTGGCTTTCAGTGTCGTCGTGTCATTGGGCAAGACACTTCACCTGCATTGTCTACTGATGGTGGTCAGAGGGCCCGGTGGCGCCAGTGTACGGCAGCCCCGCTTCTGTCAGTGAGCCCCAGGGCAGCTGAGGCTGCAATGTATCTTGCCACCATGAGTGTGTGAATGAATGGGTGAATGACTGTTTGTATTGTAAAGCGTTTTGAAGTCTCCTGACTTAAAAAGGTGCTATGTAAGTACAGGCCATTCACTTGACCAAAAATCTTCACATCATGAGGCTGCCAGCCTCTCTGAGTTTCTTGTCTTCGCTCTCTCTGGTTTCCTTTCTGTCAATAAACTGGTAATCTTTTACCCTGCCTCTTAATGGTGTTCTGCATGTGGGCAAACTTTTAGGATCCCATCATGACACACTGAAAGGGACTTTTAGATTAATCTGTAAGCTGTGATAACAGGGCATAAACATTCAAGATGTGTTTAGTTATAAAACGATGCTGTATTTCATTGGTCGTACCAAAACAACCTACCAGATATTTCAGCAGGAATATATTTAATAACACTCGTACTAAACAATGATAATATGCAATTACTGCTTACTGACTTGATCTCAGTTCCATCATATTCTTTATAATATAATTTAGATTAACCGCTTCTTGTTCACGTATCTTCAGGTATAAACTCTCAGTAGAGTTCATTATTAGATGATCAGAGCAAGCCTGATGATGAGGTGTGTTTTAGCAAACATTCCTCTACGGCCTCTCTGATGATTGCCTTGCGCTCCAATAGAGACTTCGCCTCCTTTACAGAGCAGCCAGTCAGCAAGCAAACCAGAGCCAATGGAACAACCTGAACAACAGTCAGAGAGAGCCATCAGTATAACTTCTTACATTTGAATCTTCCTGTACTTCTGTACCTTCTCGCCTTTTCCGGCAGCGTCAGTATGTGTTTTTAAGTGGTAGGTCATCATGTCCTCTGTGAGTTTGTCCACTTGATAGATTGCCTTCAACAGGGCTTCCTCACACTGTGACTCCGATCGAACAGACAGCTTCTAAAATGAAACATTTTTGCAGTATTAGCAAAAACTTGTGCACTGTGTTGAAGAGAAGATATAAGAGATCAGAACGATCACCTTTTATTTTTTTATACCTGAAGTAATCGTGTGGCTCTGTGGTAGAGCTTGCTGTTGGTGACTTGCAGATTGATCATGTAGTTCTGGTATACCTTTCCCTTGAAGATGTGAGCTCCAGTGCTCACTGCGTTCAAAAGCAGCTTGGTGGACAGCTCCCACTGCTGAGAGATGTAATCAAATCAAATTAGTCTAAGGAAAACCAGCTTATTGCATCGACTTATTGACTCTTCAGCAATCCAATGCATGCTTGGTGTGAGGGATGCATGACTGGGGTTCAAGGAGACAGAAGCAGAGATTCAGAAGGCAACTGTCAATCAGCTCCACAGGCGACCCTGTCCAGGGAACACACTGCCAGCCAAAAGAACCCCAAGCCAGCTCCCATGTCAGATGATGAAAGAGAGCACATAATCCTAAAAATATTTGTTAGCTAATCTGTTTAGTTAATCGAAATATTAGTCTTTCAAATATGTTTGGTTCTTTGATTTAATAATTAAGGTTACCCATGAAGGAGGTGGTAGACTAAAAAGGTTGACATAAATGGGCTAAACTCCTGCTTTAGCTAAATGGTAAACGTGTGCTGTGTACCTACCATGTGCTGCAAACTAATGAAGACAGTTGTTTCTTGGGGCCATGTGAAATTGAGGGCGGATGAACACAGTTTATTTATTTCATCCTACAACAAAGAGGAAGACTATATTATACAGATTAATGCATTTTGGACACCTTCACATTTTGCCAAGTTAAAACCAAAAGCTTCAGTGTATTTCTTAGTACTTGATAGGGTTGAAAAACATAAAGTAGTATGGCATCTATTTTTATCTCCACCACCAGGTGGTGCCCTGTCCTAGTTGGGCCTCCCTGCACACCTGCGCAGGGCCGTGCAGAGACCACTAAAGGGGCAGGTGCTCAAAAAAAAAAAAGGGCACATCTTATCGCATTTTAGGACAGAATATTAACAAAGTCACATAGCTTTCAGAGTTTAATGAACAATGATAAATTACAAAATTGTGAGACATACAATCAAAGCTAAGGGAAATCTCTACATAGAACATAGAACTATGCATATGTAAAATATTTTATTAGTAATTTCTTTCTGCAGGTCTATTTTGTTATAGGAAAGTATTACAATATTCAAACCTGCAATTTAGCCAAAGATGTAAATCAGAGCTGGACCACCAGACATATTTTGTCTTTACAGAATTAAACTGTTAAAAATGCATACAAGGGCACAATGCAACCTTTTAGTGTACTGTAATCTATAAAAAAGAATGTCTGCCTGGTTTGCTGTACTGACAGTGGAGATGGAGACGGTCCATTCAGAAAAGCAGAGCTGCTGCATCAAACTTTAACTAGAACTGCAGAAAAAAAAGAACAAAACAAACATTTATTAATGCAGGTCACCATGAGAAAAGCCTACTCTGTTTGTGTCTTAGTGTATTTTGTAAGTACCTATATACATTTTCTTCAATCTTTCCTCTTCGTTTTTTCTTGTCAGTTTCTCTTTTCTTTTTTTCCTCATTGTCTCATCTTTTCTGTGTTGAGTGAAGGTCAATGTCTTATTTATTTCAGTCTCTTGCCTTTCTTTTTCCCCCAAACTAAATCCAAGATTATGATCCAAAAACTTATTTTCCGTCATGGTGATTTAACTGTTTAACAACAAATTTCCAACTTTTAAGCATTTTTGCTATTTTTGTTCTCTTTTGTTCACAGCAGCAGTTTTCTGTTAGCCATGTCTTTAAAAATGTTAACCTCACTGTGAATGATTGGCACATCCTTCTCGATTGCCAACAAAAGAAGGTCTGACAACCGATCCTCCTTGCATAAGCTGCGCAGTTTTGTTTTCACCAGCTTCATACATTATATCTATCATGGTAGTTCTAGATGAGTTCTCCTTTAAGATACATTTACCTAACGCTAGAATAAATGAAATGTACATCATGCAGCAAAGGAAATTAGAAAATCAGACATAAATCCATTATGGAGATGATAGGTTTTTGACGGGCGATGTGCCCCTACTGCATAAGTAATACTGAAGAATGTCCTACTATCATTAACGACACAGGGAAGCTTTTTAGTTATCTTGCTTTGCTAGCAAAGTCATTAGCTAGCAGCTAGCTCATAGCACAAGAACAACAGCCTAATGTCTGTATGATAAAAATACTGAATCGATAAGAACAGCTTTTCCTCACCTGGCTGTCTCCTCCCGCTCAGTAGTTCTTCAGAGAAAGGTGCGCCGCGTCCTATACTTTCCTCCGTTTAAACCGCTACTCTTTGCTAAAGTAGAGAAATTATACAACGTTCAAAGTTTTCCGTTGTCTGACAAGTAGGAAGCCTACTCCAGTATTTTCACCAAAATTTATGTTTTTTAATTCACAAAAAAACTGTTCTGTAATCATTACAGAACAGTTTTTTGTGAATTAAAAAACATAATTTTCACTGTAAAAGACTAAAAGCACAGAGTAAACAGTGTTTTAGATCAAACAATACTGCATCATCCATGGGGCTCATCTGGTTTCACTTACATGTCTATTCAGGTTGACATTGGAGAGGCGGTGCAGACTGAAGACATAGCCATCCGTCCGATCAAGGTTGATCTTGCTTAGGGCCAAATGAGCAGCGGCCACAGTGTAATGTGGAATGTTCGCTACCTTTAGCTCCGCAGTTAGCCGCCTTATCTGACTGTGCGAGAGGCAAGTGCGTCGTCACCGGCAAAAGGTCAAAGGTAACAATGTGACCGGAGGGCTTATTGTATTGTTTTTCTTGTCAAAAAAAAAAAAAGATAATAATAATAATTTCAGTACATGTGTCAAAAAAAAAAAAAAAAAAGGGACCAAAAGGGCACATTGGGATCATGGAGCAAAAGGGGCAGGTGCTCAAGCCCCCTTAGCCCCCCCCTCTGCACGTGCCTGCACCTGCGGCTCATTGGACCATTACTGGAGGAGTATTGGAGCAGCGGACTGTTACTACCTTGACGCCAGAGTGTTTGCCAATTTTGGGTACTCTAGCCAAGCTGAGATTAGCAGAGTCTAACCTAAGCTTTGTTCCTCTGAGACTTATCTAGTTTTTGTCTTTGCTCTTCGGCAGGAAGCCTTCCTGAGTAACTGGACCTTCTCCCCCTGGAAGGATTTACTGAGAACACACTAAGCAGGGGAAAACCTCCACATGATCCGTTCAAGTCCTCTTAGGAAATCCAAGTTACAGTCTGCTCCTTTACTCCTCTGGGTCCAATGCTTGTCTATCTGTCCGCCCTCCAACGAGTTCCCTCTTCTGTGGATTAACCCCCACAAGCTGGATTCAAGGATTGACAAGAGCCCCCTCAAACGTGAGTCCCTCTCCTGTAATATTCAAGCCTCAGTCAAATTTCCTACAGTCCCTGAACTGATCACTGTGATCTCCCCTTTAGATTTTCCTGTTCCGGTTCATCAGTCCACTGAGTTCGAAATCCAACTTGTGTTAATCATCTACATTTAATAAACCTGTTTAACGTTTTCCCTTGGTCCCTGAGTGGTTCTCTGCTTGTGGGTCAGATCGCTTAAACCCATCATGACAATATTTAGTTTTTTATATTTATTTTGATAATAATTTAATAATATTGATGCAGCTGTAAACCTGACCAGAATTAAACTTTGTGGGATAATTAATTGACCTTCTTATATGCCCCATTGCCCCTACAGAAAAATAGCATCCCCTAAGCATGACTCTCTCTCAGCTGTGCTTTGCTGTGGGGATTCCTTTGTTTAATAAAAATAATTCTAGAAGAAAACATTTTAGAATTGGGAATAACTTGGTGGAAATTTGCCTTCCAGTGGTAAAAAAAAAAAAAGCAAAACCCTAATTTTAAGAAAGTTCTCATAAAATCGAATTAATTTTCTTGTTTCAAAGTGGCAAAATAATAACATTCAAGAGCTATATATTCTTTTGAATAGCACTACAGATGAACAAACAAATACTTGTTGTTCGTTGGTGTCTCCATCAGCATGATGATAAACAGAATGGATGTTAGATGTCTTGTCCCTCACTCTGCGCGCCAGCCTTGCCACCCCGTCGACATCATCTGCAAGGAGAGGCTGTTAAAACACATGCTGACTCAATCTGCACAGAAACCAATCATCAGTGATCACTTGCGTTACCAGAATGAGAGTACAGAAGCAGAACCATGTCCTTGTCAGTGAGACAAGGCAGGACGCTGTTCAGAAAGTCATCATGAGTGATACCAAACTCACAACCCTAAAGACAGAAAGGAAAAAAAAGAGAAAGGGTTTCATCTACCATCCATCTGTTTTATTGTTTGGAAATAAAAAATAATTAAAACATGTCTCCTTCTCCTTTGTCTTTACATTACTTTCAGTAGGTCTAATAATAAAATCCATTGACGTTTAGGAGTTCAATAAGAACGTTAATCAAGTATAACGGCTCTTAAAAGCACCATTTGGAGAACTGCAATCTCTGCCTATGTGTAAATCTGTTCAGTTTATTGTTGAGAAGCATTGTTAAAACTTGAAGCTGAGTTGGATGCATTAATTACCAATTAAGCTGATGTTAATTCACATACCATCAAATTTAAATCACCCTCTTTGTTGCCCAGCTCTTTGTAGCCTCCGCTGACAAAGCCTCTGATGTCTTCATAGTCTAAGAGACGCACAAACGAACACATTTAGAACATGTCGAAGAATAAAGAACATTTGGGGTCGTTTCTGGCTTATTTCACCTGCTCCAAAAGTGGGTTTACATTCACTGGCGTCAATGAGGCCCAGCAAACCGAGGGAGCCCCAGCCCAGGTAACACACCCGCCTCCCACACTGCAAACTGAAGCACATCACTGTCTAAAATGACTCAGAGCACCTTAAGATATTCTATTTATCCAAACTATAATACAACAGCAGCTCTAGTCCAAAGCATGCAGTCAGCTGGATTATGTCATTTCATGGTAATTACCTGTGTCCAGCAGCCTCCATGAGAGCAGCAATCCCCTCTGCTTGTGAGTATGTGATGTCCAGAGCTTGTTTATAAGATTTCATGCGCTGCAGAATCCCACTTTGTAACATAAACAATGTAAAAAAAAAAAAGAAACATCAGTCTCAATTTTTGTTGAACTAATCCAACTGGGTCTTAAATTTTATTTTGGTACTCAAAGTAACCTCTAGAGGTCAGCAACCCCTTGCCGAACATAAAGTGCTTAGGCATTTTGATTGAATCTACTGCTTAAAGGTTTCATACCAACTGCCTGCTTGTATGTGTTTAACTGGCTGAAAAAAAAAATACAACTATCTGTGTTTTATTTGCTTCTATGCCCTGATGTGTGGCAGCAGAGTATTAAAAGAAAGCCCCTCTAATGTGTAAAGCTTGTCCTGGTTTCTCAAGTGGACGGTTTGATGGAGGTGACTTCAAGCTGTTGCCTCCGAAAACAAATAAGCACTTAGAGAGCGGTAGGCTCCTCTGGGTGCAGAAAGTAGGACTCAAGGCACTATAAAGTCATATCGGGGTGACTAGTGATAGCATTGATGCCTGCTGTTGATCAAAGATCAGAGTATTCAACTCTTGTTTAGAGGCTTGACTTTACCTACGAAACTTAAATGGGGATACACAAAATTGCTATGAATGAAACCTTGAAAACAAAATTACTCACTAATATAAAATGGTCTAGCAGAAATTGAAACAATCCTTGTTAATGATAAACCCTTAAACAGAGGCTAGTGCATCCTAAAGACAAAACCCCAAGACTAAGACCTAGACTTCCTTTATTGTCATTGCACAAAAAAACACAAGGTGAATCTTGACAACGAAATGTAGATTACTTGGCTACCAGTGTAATAGAGCTAAGACCTTGTTCCTGCACAATAAATATGTTTTCTATAACTAAGAGCTAGCTATATACAAGGTAAGAGTATATATATACATATATATTGCACTGAGTTATTGAATATCGCACTGAAGAGTTATTGAAAACATTAGATTGAAGACAAAACTAAACTAACGACGAAATACAGTATGAGCAGAGTGTATGCAGTTCAATGCAGTGAGGAATGCTCTGATCTTTATAGTGGAGAAACTAAACATCTCCACAGACGCATATCTTGGCTGTACATCTACATCTTATGGACAAAGGACATTCTTTTGAGGACCAGAATGTTCACATTTTGGACAAAGAAGACAGCTCGTTTGAAAGGGGTGTGAAGGAAGAAAGAAAAACCAACCTTAAACAGAGGAGGTGGGCTCGGGTTTGAGCTTTTAAAAACTTACAGTGTAGTGATAGAATTGATTCCTTCCTACTGACAACGCAACCCCTACCCCCATACAGGGCACCAAAACATCTTGCCTTGTCAGCCAGGCCAACAATTCCCCATAACGACCCCCTATCAGAGGCATAGACCAGTACCGGGTATTCCAGTCTAACAAAGAACCCAAATGACTCCCCATTCCTTAGGTGCGGACCCGTTCTTCCCGTTCAATTTGCATTTTTTCTAAGCCAAAAGAAGGATTTGTTTTGGGACACTCTATAAAGTTGAATTCAACACTAATTCTGACATTTTCAATTGAAAAAGCTTCCTGGGTGGGAAGTGAAACATCTTCAAACTTGGAAACAAACTCCAGTGGATTGTTTTTTAACTTTTTTTGGAATTTTTAAGATAGAGGCAATATGGCTCACCACCCAGGTCGACATGGCCTTGGTGGTCAGAACAAGTTTTCACAGAAGTAAGTTGCACCCTGCACAAGTTGTACTGACTATTTTATCTAAATAGGTTTGTTTTTGAAAAATTTCAGCTTTGTTCTTCAGATTTCCTGTGAAAGAAAACCTTTTTTTAATATTTTAAACATCTAGCTGTGAGTTTTTGACGTTGTCTTTCATTTATATTCTGTTTGCTTTATGCTGTGTCCCAAAGCCTGGTACCACCACCCCTGTGCTTGGCAATTTTTACAGATTAATTTAGTTGGAAACCCCCCACTCGCAAAGTATATTAAGTCATTTGGGACGTATTAGATCAGTCTTCATGTAATCATAATTTACTCCAACTTATGCACCAGTAGTGGAAATCCTAACCAGCAACTGAATCCAGCTGCATGAGCACTAAAACAAATAATAAAAAAAAAAAAAAGAGGAAATCATAAATCTGAGACGAAAGCATTTAGTTGGAAGTAGTGCATTCGACTAAAAGTCTGACTGCACAGCTTCAGTTTCAGCTTCAGAAAACTTAGATTACAGTTCCCAATCAAGCAGCTGCTCATAAAGTCCTCTGGACAGTATCCCTGTACTTATACGTACTTGTATGTGATGGGTGTTTTTGAGAAATTGGCAGCATGAGCGGCAGAAAAGACGACCTCCAGGAGAATCTTAGTGGCGCTGCCTCCCTTCATCCTCGAGGAGCCGCTGATGGCTTCCGGCTGAGCGGACACAAGCATTCACACACTCAATCTGAGTCACTGCCGGGACATTTTAGAGGCTTGACACAAACACAACATGAAAAGTTGGAGGAAGAATTGGGATAATAAGCGCCGGAGAAGGAGTACCCCGAGTGCTGGGTTGATGAGGAAAGCCTTTTGCATTTTGGAGAGCTCTTTCCACCACACTATGAAATGTGAACGTGCAGCCAGGTATTGGCTCCTTCCTACACAGTGAAACACATTCTATTCAGACCACTTTCTTACAGCTTTTTCAAGCAACATTTATATAATTATAAATAGATAATTCAATACTTTGTCATTTTACAATTACAAAGTTCTGTGTATTCTATTAGGATGTTATATAACAAACTAAAAGTAAATAGGCAGAGCTGCAAAAGGATGGTTTCAGACCTTAATAAATCCAAATCTTAATTAGAGTAAGGATCTGCATCCTTTAAGGTGAGACAGTGATATTAGGTCGTATGAATACTTGTGCACGACTCCGTAGATTAATGCATCTCACCTGGCCTGATGTGCAGGATTAAAGCCTATCAATACAGGCGTGTAGACATCAGGATGCTGTAGGCAGACATCCAACTGACCGGCCACAAATGGAGCCTGGTGGGGTGCACCTATTAGAACCACTCGATCTGAAGTATTAATGTGTCCAAATACAAATACCACTTACAGACAATCCACAGGAGATGCCAATGAACAGGACTCTCTTCTTTCCCTCAGATACCTGAAGAGAACAGGAATAGTGATGCATTTCTCCTGTTTCCATTCAGGCGCCTGATGCGCACTAAAACGTGACGTTGCTGACCTTTCTGAGACTGAGCGAGCCCAATATGGGGTCGTCCTCTGGAGCCTCTTGGGAGGAAAATAGAGCTCTAAGGAAAGAGGAGTATAGAATTGAAAATATGATTTTTTTTGGATGCCTGCAGGTTTTTCAGGCTTCTACAAAATTAGAGCAACCAAAAAGCACCTGTCTCCTCCTGCGATGATGTATGAACAGACCGCACTCTGGTTCAGCCGCCTTAGCTCTCTGTTAAATCCTGACTAAAAAATATGCATACACAATACCAAAATCAACCTACTGTTTAAGCTCCTGTTTTATCGGAGCACCCAAGAAAGTTATTTTTACCGTGATGAAGAATGCAAGGCGCCCAGAAGTGCCACAGCCACTAAGTACGATGAGGCTGTCCTGAGGATCCTGTAAAGTAAAACCTAAATATAGTCCCAGGTCTAATCCATGTTAGTGAGCTGAAACATCCCCAAACAAGATACCTCTAAAATGAGCTGCACTCTCTCTGCCACCTTCATTAAGGTTTCCACCACTTGGTTGCTCAGAAGTTTCTAAAAAGAACAATAAGTGTCATATTACTGCAACAGAAGATACTCAACAACCATATGATTGTACCTCATAGGCTAATCCTGACTCTTCCTGAAACATCTGGATGTCGCAGGCATGTAGCATCTTCACGATGCTCCTGGCTGGAGCTCTATCTATTTCACGGGTTATAGGGTTGGACATCTCTGACACAGAAAGGGCAGGCTCATAACCTGTAGACTGAGATTGGAAAAGTGGTGTGAAGACTCAACTTTGCTCCAAAATAGTGTCACTGTCTACAAAAAAATCCCGCCTTAAAATTAAGAATTATATTTTTACTTTCACTTTATTGTTTCCTCATTCTTTCACTTTTAGTGGCTTCAGCACAGTATGCCTCTCTAATACGTTAGCTTGTAAAAAGTGCTGTATTTCAGTTTTAACAGGCCATTGGCCACATATCATCTAAGCAACATCCATCCATCCATCATCTCCTTTTTGGTCCTCGACAGTGTCGCGGGGGGCCGTTGCCTATCTCTGGCAGTCTATGGGTGAGAGGCGGGGTCCATCCTGGACAGCCTGTTGTAGGGCAACACAGAGACACACAACCATGCACACACACAACCACACTTAAGGACAATTTAGAGAATCCATTTAAACTAAACATTTAAACTTAAATTTTTTTTATCACAATTGTCAGGTTGCCTTTAATTAGCATGACTTTATAAGGATTTTGAGTCCATCTCATCACTATGTTGCCTTCTTTTTAAATGCATTACTTTATATGTCAAAAAAATCCCATGTTTTACAGTATTATACATTTTATTTAAATGTACATAATGTCTCCTCAACATTGGGAGCAACACAGATCCGACCAATTCATTAACAGTCATGTTTTTGGGCGGAAGGCGGAATATCCAGAGAGAACCCATGCATGTACAGGGAGAACATGCAAACTCCATGCATGGGCCGGGAATTGAACCCGGCACCTACTTACTGCAAGGCAACAGTTCAACCCATTGTGTAAAAACTAAAAAGGTAATGGTGCTGGACCAACACCAGTGGATGGCATGGCTGCTTAAATCATAACCAACTGGAAACTTTCCTCCAGACTCTGTAACCTTGATTTCCAAATAAAATGCTAAGTTTACTTTCATCCAAAAATTAGACTTTAGACCACCAAGTAATACTCTGGTAAAAACTTCAGTAATGTTAGGGAAAATGCAATAACTATAATCCATTTCTTGGATATGTTCTATCTACCAAACATCCTCCTTTCACCCAACTTTCTTTAATGGTCTCAAATGTATGTTTTGGGTTTACCCTATTGTGTAAATGTATTTTTTTATATATATATTTTAAATCCCAACATTTCATTTTTTCCCCAAAACATGATAATTAGAATAAACTACAATGTCTTTTTTGAAATATGTTTGAATTTTTGTGATAGGATTCGAGTTTGTGTGGGTTGTTTTTTGTGTTTTCCTCTCTCATCATTACCAGAGGAGTACTTGAGCAGCGGGCTGTCACCACCTCGACGCCAGAGTGTTTGCCAGTATTGGGTACTCTAGCCAAACTGAGATTTGCTGAGTCTAACCTTTGCCTTGTCTCTCTGAGTCTAAGCTTTGTCTTTTGTTCTCCAGTAGGATGCCCTCCTGATCCACCGGATAAGCCTGGTCTTTCTACCCCCCTTGGAAGGAATAATTCGAGTCACACTGAGCAAGGGGAAACCTTCACCAGACCCGTTCAAGCCCACTTCAGGAAAACCCGGTGACAGTCCGTTCCATTGCTCCTCTGGACCCAACGGTATTATGCCTGTCCACCCTCCAACGAGTTAATTCCTCTCTGGATTAAACCCCCACAAACTGGACCCAAGGGAAAACCTAGAATACCCCTAACGTGAGTCTTTTCCTGCTATTCACCAGTCTCAGTTTATTTTTCCTACGGGCCTTGAACTGATCTTTGAGATCTCCCCTTCAGAGTTTCCGGTTCCGGTTCACCAGACCGCTGAAGTCCCACTGACATAACCCTGCATATAATCACTCTCTCTTTTTTTTGTCAACCTCTCAATAAACCTGCTAACTTTTCCCCTGGTTCTCTGAGTGAATCTCTGCATGTGGGTGAGATCTTTAAAGCCCATCGTGACATTTTGAGCTTCATTAATGAAAAATAATGACTTTCTAATTATATTCTAGTCATTTCTGTCACATCAAAACAGTAGTAACTGGTCAAAAATCAATAAAAGGGATGATTATCTGAGTATTTCAGAGTTCATCTAATGAACCAAGTATTTAAATCAGGTGTGTTGAAGCAAAGTTGATTTTAAAACCTGTAGAAACCCAGCACCACAGGACTGAAACTTGACACCTATACCCTAAGAATAACCGAATTGTGATCTAAAGCACAAAAGAGTAGATACATGAGATCATAAAGATGTCACAACCTGAATTAGGACAAATGTGAGAAATTAAATGAAATTAAATTTCATGTGCCTATATCTTTTATATAGTCCAGATACGTAACACAGAACTGTGAGAAAAGAAGAGGCACCAGACCAGGTGTTCTCCCCACTGCTCTGCATGCTTAGCATTTTCGCTGCACTAAAACACAGAAGGAGGTGAAGGATGGAATATGAAATTGAATACCAATAAAACATAAATGGTATCTTCTATTTGCAACATTATCATTTGTTTTTAGTGTACGTCCTTTGTACTTAATATTTTCTGTTAATATATGTTACATTGAGTGTCCAAGGCAATCATTAATGCAGAGGATGAGACAGTAATAATGTGTAAGTGTCATGCAGAAGTAATCATACATCTAAAACTTGAATAAATTTAGTCATGATAAAACCATAGGCTTTGATTCTTTCTATTGGGATTTTTGCTTGGACAATAAAAAATATTGTGTTTTTTTTATATATAATGGAAAGCAAATGGAGGTCTATAAAACATGTACAAAGAAAAATGTGAAAAAGTGTCATGCATTCCTAGTCAGCCTTCCTGAGTGAAAACCATCTCTGGAATTGCAGCAGAGTCCTTTCATGTTACTTTCATGTAACATAAACATAGAGACTGAAACCTTTACCCTTTCTGCCATCGGATTTTGAGATGCATACATGTGTGCAAGTTTTCCTCCACAGATATTCTTTCTGCTGATCCCACTGATCACTCGAACCGGACTCCACTCTCTTCCTCTGGTTATATCCCCCCACATTCTGCCTGCGTTGGTTCCTTTTTCAGAAACTCAACACAGCATCCCCTCCCTAAATGATGCAGCAGCAGACTCCCTGGCCGGCAGGGAACAATGTCTGATCTAATGCATAACAGAGACAGAATATCTCACGCTGAACGGCCCTTCTCTCCCTGCCTCAGCTGGCGAGAGCAGTGCACTTTCTCATTAGGATGTTCATTCTGTGTCTCAGCAAGATTCATTTAAAACCTATGAAAAGCTCAAAAAAGCTATTATCAATAATTAAGTCTCCTCTTGCTTCCTCTTGGATAATCTTTGTGTTCCTGAGTAGAAGCTGCTGCAGTGCTTCGATGAACAATGACCTTGAAAGTTCAGGGAAGGTTCTTCGATTGCATAGAAGCTTTAAGATCTCCTCTCACTGGCAGTTAGCTTAAAAATCCCCCAAAGACGGAATAAACCAGTAACTCCATTCAGTGCACTAAAAAAAGAAGATCAACTTTAACTATTATCACCTTAATTTGAGAAATCAAAGACATAATTTAAGTGTTGAGAAGAGTCACATACACCTAATGAGGGTCATGGGCTTGCTTTAGCCAATATACATCCTCTCTGGTAACTCTAGCAACCAGCTCGTCTAATTACAAATTTCATCATTTATGTAATTATCTATATTTTCATAAGCTTTATTAAGCAGATCATTTTGCAATTTAGGTCAGCTACACTCTCAAAAATGTTAGCAAACTTATCCATCTGTCATTCATGTAGCAGACTGACCTCATGCTAAGGCTAATTCTTTCTGGCATTACGATATGAGACATTAAAAAATGCCCAATTGCCCTTAAATCATCAAATTGATCTAAACAGGCTTGTATTTATGTCATGAATCCTGGCACTGAAGACTGGCTTAATAACTAACATCATTCACCGGTCTAACTCTGCCCAGTTTCTAATCACCGCTCATATAGTCCACCTGCACCTACCTCCATTTAAGGGGCTTGCATCCAGTTATCATGGCCAGATTATTCTTGTTCTCTCCAGCCAGTGGTGAGTCTTTTTAGAGTTCCTTGGTGTTTCTTATTCCCTGATCCTGACTTGTTCTGCCTCTTAACCATTGAGTCTGCCTGTTCCTGTCTGAGCAGTTTGCCTGAACTGTCTTTGGACTCCTGGATCTCCTAACCAGTCTGTTGCTGTTCTGATCTGTTTGCCTGACCTGGCTTCGGACTCCTGGACCTCTGAGCCTTCTTGTTATGATCTGTTTTCCTGACCTGGCTTCAGACTCCTGTTGTTCTCTGTGGCTGCAGCATCTGGGACATTCTGGACAGCGCTCAAAGCATCTTGCTGGCAGCCCATCGGCTGTACCCTATCTCGTCCTCTGGCTAAGGACTGAACGGTAATCCAGGCTAGTGACTCACGTGTTCATAATCATCCTCAGATTATTGTGGTCACAAACCTGTGTTTCTCTCCTGCAGAGGTTACTCTCCTAGATGCCCTAGCCACCGCAGATCTGCCTGTTTTTAATCAAGGCTTTTTGAAGTAATCCCAATCCCCATGTCTATCTTGCCTTGAATACTGGGTCCTCTGTTCTGGGCCTTGACAATTTACAGTGGAGACACTACTGATCACAGCTGCAAGTTTGGCTAGACAAAAAAATACATGTCATGCCTGAAAATAGTAGGCCTTTTTTTAATTATGGCCACCTGAAATTTATAATTGTATTTAAGCTTGTGTTGTGATAACCAGAACAGTTATGCTGTTAATAGAGTCAGTGTCTGTATGTATGTTTGTGTTCTCAAAATATACCTGTCATGATTTATTTTTCTGGCTTTTCTTGTTGAATATTTATATTTTATTGTCTATTGTTTGTATTTTAGTGTCTTGCCATATAAGTATATTGCTTTTGTTGGGATCTGGAGGCTTTGTCCACTTTCTCCACCAGAGGGCGCACAAGATCTCTTGGGGGCATGAGCTGACTGCAACACCTGTCTTCCATCTGCTCATCAGGAGGCCCTATTTAAGGAGGAGGAGGATAACACTTCCCTGCCAGAGTGTTT